AATGGGATTTTTGTGTTTTCATCAAGCATGTAACAATTGCATTTTGAATTTTAATAGATGTTACCACACTGTCATCCACCCATAATCCTAATAATATGGGAGAAAATATTCTCATAGAATCTTCTAAATCCTTGATTTTAAAACAAGCCATGTATTTGTCAGTTTTGGCGGGGGGTGGGAGGAGAAATAGTTTACTACATTGAGGTTTGAATTTGGATTTTTCTGTTTATTGGTGAGTTTGAGTACATATTTGTATTTATTGACTATTGCAATATTCTCTACAATCAGACGATATCCTTTGTCCAATTTTCTGTGGCATTTCCATTAATTTATTTGTTGATTAACAATTTTTCATAAGAGAGCCCATTGAATTTTGTTATTTTCTTCATGCAAGAAAATCAGTAATATTTTTCAAATATTTTTTCATGTGTGTCTTCTGGATTTTGTCTTGCTCACAAAGTCTTATTTTTTAAAATAATTATTTTAACAGGTTTACGAAAGCAAAATTTACATACTGCAAAATCCACTCATACATTTAAAATTTAATGATTTTAGTAAATTAATAGATTTGTACAATTATCCCAATAATCCAGTTTTATAACATTTCTGTCATGTCCAAAGCTTCTCTATGTATAGTTAATTCCCACCAATACCCCAAGCCCTAGCACCCAATGATCTGCTTTTTGTGTCTGTTTATTTATCTCTTCTAGATATTTCAAGTAAATGCAATCAGACGACATGTCAGCTTTCACTTAGTTCCAATTTCTTTCACTTAGTTAACATTATTGAAGTTCACCAGTTTTGTAGTATGTCTAATCATTTTGATTCTTTCCTTTCCATTTGTTTTCTCTTTTTCCATTTGTGTAAATTTATAAGGTACAGGTGCAGTTTTGTTACATGCATAGATTGCATAGTGGTGAAGTCAGTGTTTCTACAGTATCTGTCACACAGATCATATGCATTGTACCCATTAAGTGATCTCTCATCATCCGGAGTGCAAGAGTTGAAACTTGTTTTGGGAAAACTACCCTCAGGTTCATAGTATCTCCCCTGCCAGATAAGTCTTTTTTTGTTCCCTTTTATTGTTGAATGATATTGCCTTGCATGGGTGTAGCACTATTTTGTTTACACATTTACTAGTTGAAGGAAATTTGGATTGTTTTCAGTTTGGGCCAGCTATGGCTAAGGCTGTTCTGAACACTTGAACACATATCTTTGTGAGGACATATGTTTTTATGTATCTTTGGTAGATTCCAAGGAGTAAAACTGCTGGGTCATATGGCAAATATATGTTTAACTTTTTAAGAAATTGCCAAATTTCCAGGTATTTGTTAAATCATGCACTCCTGCCAGCAACACATAAGAGTTTAGAAAGTCTGTTTGTCTTCCAACACAATTATAATGATGATGATAGTATTAGAAGTCACATCTGTCTTGCTAATTTTATATTTTCTCTTTTATGTTTCAATTTTTATTCATCCAGGATCTACTTAGTGAAAGACATAAGTTTGAAATACAACTTACCAAAAACTGAATGTAAATCTCAATTCATTCTAATTTTAGGCTCTGTTTTAATAGCATATTTAATTAAAAAATCAGTAACAAATGCATTTATAAAAATAAATGTATAGTATATTTTAGTACCTTATAGAGCGAGTCATTCCTTTTACTTTTTTTCAAAAATTTCCCTGGAAAACATATTTACCTCATAAAATAACATGTCAGCATGCTTAATTCAGTTATAAAAACAATCCTTTCTGCTTGCTTTTTCATTTTATTGTAATTGAGTTAATGACTGACATTTAATATTCTACATATATATTTTAAAAGACCCAAAACCCTGAATTAAGGATGCCTATAAGGAGTCTCTGGGTCTTCAAGTGAAATTTAGCTACAAATATTACCAACTTAAGAGTACCACAATCTATCATTTCCCTACTCTGAAATTTTCTACTCCATCCACCATTTCTTTGTTTTTTAAAAAAATGCATGGTTTTGCCTCTTTTCTTCCCATGTGCATCAGGCCCACTCTACAAAGGTTGAATCCTGGCTTGTCTGAGCCCGTGTGATCCCACGGTCTTTCCAATGTGCCAGAAAGTGGGTACTGGGAATAATCTGGAAACAGTTTAGTTGTGCCTTATAAAGGCGCACAGGAACAAGCAATATCCTTTCCCCGTCTTTGGGAGTTGTTGTGAAAGAATAAGAAACCTAAAGCTGCTGCAAGGGTCCTCCTGCCGTCTCAGGAAAGCGGAGGTGCTGTGTGTGATGGAGAGATGTGAGATAAAGTTCCAGGATCGCCGGTGATGCCACTGGTCTGCTGAGTTGAGCAAACCTGGAGATGCCCAGGATCTGTCAGCTATGTGAGATAACGACATAAAGAAAAATAAAGCCCACCAGATTGGATTTCCTGCTATCAGCAGCAGAGATATCTTCACTGAAATATTCACCCCACACATTCTAGTTCTACTTTATAATTCCACACCACAGGTCTCATATAAAAGAATGAGACAAATCATTTCCTCAGCTTAGGGAAAAATGCCTATTTGTTGTAACTCTGGGATCAAATAGAACAGGCATAATTATCAGCTTAATACGTCCCTATAGGATATATATTCTTATAGGAGTTATATGTACTTGTACTGCTGTGTATGCATAAGTAACACATAACTAAAAGTAAAATATGCATAAAATATTGAATTTGATTGAAAATAGTCTCTGACAGTAAAGAAATTAGGCTCAAATGATTATTACTTTGAAATAAACTTTTGAATTGATTATGTATTATTAGATTTGACATATTTGACACTGACTCAATGGAGAGCTCTCCATCTTCTAAATTTGTCTTTCTCTGAAATCTGTACAAGTCCTTTGAGAATACTACACTATTGAAGTCTCTGGAATGAAAACCTATATACTAATTTACAGTTATAGATACACAATATTGTAGATGGGGTTAAGAAAGAGTTCTGATGGACTTGTTAGCGGGTTTCTTATTTCACGTTTGCCAAGTTTGTTTTAGTTTTCATAGTCTGTTCTCAGTTTTTATGCATTGCCTTTTCAAATGTTAGGTTTACTTTCTTATTGTCAGGTAAAAATTGCATATTTGTTGTATAGCATGAAGTTTTGATATATACTTACAGTGTTGAATGTCTAAATCAAGCTATTTAATATAATGCATTACCTCACATACTAAGATCATATATATATATATACCATTATTTTATTGGGAAATAATCTTCCCTTTTTCTTTTCTTTTTATTTTTTGTCCTTGAAGCCAAATGGACAGATGATTTTTAACTCCATGTTTGCAAAAAATTTAATAATGTAACATGTTTGTGGCACAGGGTGAGTACAGATGCATGGGAGGTTGTAGGGTTAGGTAAAGGGGAGCACAAATTTGACCTTGAGGCATAGACATCAATGCTGGGCCTTCAGGCCAAGGGCAGGAGCTGAGGAAGCCACAAGGGAGGACATTTCTGCAGAGTTGCTGAACCAGTAGCAGCCAGGTCCTGAGAAAGCTCTCTCTTGTGGAAGAATAAGAGCCAAGCGGGAAAGCTTTTCATCCTGCAAAGCTGGGGCAGAAGGTTCTTCCTTGAATGTGGTCACCTTCCCTTCAGCTCAGGAGTCCTGCAGAGACAGAGGAAAGTGTTGTGTTCAGACCTGGCTGTACTAACAGCTTCTTTTCACCTCTTTCAGGGGCTCAGATGAGAGCACTGCAGGAAGTTGAAAATCAAGCTCCTTAGTCTCCCTGAGCCAATACCTGCAGAGCACAGGCCTTTTCCAAGTGGAGAGGAGGAGTTTTGGTGTAAATTGCCTGATCACAAATTTGGATCCAAAAGTCTTTCCTATTATTTCTGTCTTGTGCCTTATCACCTCTACCATCATTCTAGGGAAACCAAATCTGTTTCTATACGAGGATTAAAAGGCATTACCTGATGGCCGAAGTGCAGAACCTCCTAGGAAAATGAGGGAAAGGCATACACTTAAAAGATTTGTAAGCAAATCTGTCCTTCAGCACAATGTCCCAGCCTTCGGTCTCCCACCTCAGATTTCTCTAACACCACAACCCACACCAACCAGGGCAGAGAGGAGCAGAAACAGACCATGTGACCCATGAAGCGTGAAGTGTCGGGCACTGGATCCAGTGTAACTGCATTCATCTTAGTGGCTCTTTCTTAATTTACTCCAGGATCTCAAACCAAAGAACTCCTACTTGTTAACTTTTCTCTCTCTCTACAGGCTAAAAGCGATTATGCTTTGACACTGATGATGTCTGGATTAGCAGGACATTGGAGATCTTTTGGGGAAAGAAAGGTTTTAACCAGGGCCACTGATGTACTGAGAATTAACCTCCACAAAGCCATATTTCCTCCTCCAGAAAAGCTATGGAGAGAGCCAGCTACCAAAGGCTCCTCACCTTTCTGATTCCTGAAGTAGATGAACAGCCCTGCCCCAAGGAAGAGCAGGCTAAGCACAAAGCCCCTGAGTCCACTCAGCATCTTGCTCTGTGCAGGTTCAGACAGTGCCTCTGAGAGAGGAAGCCAGGTTTAGTGATTTTTATCCCAAATTTAACGTCTTTAATTAAGAACCTAAGATTCAAAGCTTTGAAAATGGGGAAGATGGCTGCCCTGCAAAAACTAAAATAATTGGTGATTTCTGGAGAAAAAAAGATTTTCAAACCACACTAAACAATTACAAAGTTTATGCATCAAATTCATTCAAATATTACAGGCTTCATGTAAGGCAAGACTTCAGCATCTGATCAACAGAACATCTGAGACTCAATGAGGTTAAGTACTTTGTCTAGAGTGACAGAGCTCATAAAAGGCAGAGCTGAGACTGGACTCTGCTGATGTCCGGAAGGACCCTACAGTTTTTCTCTTCTCAGTTGACAAGAAACAACTCACAGCAACAGCAGCAGAAAGTCTCAGACCCAGAGGAAGGGTCTGGAGCTTAGAGAGAGCAGGTGACTCTGACCTCTGACATTATGTAGGTGGGGTTCAAAAGCGCAACAGCCTCTTCTTCCTGGTAGGAATGACTGCTTTTCCAGGGGCTAGTAGGTATGTCCCAGAAACTATTAAAGGGCTCCCCCTAGTGACCTGTGCTGATGGAGATGAGAACCTGGAGCCAATGACAATAGGATGTGGGAGAGGAGAAACCTGACACTCAGGGATTAGCAGAGTCCTCTCCTTGGTGGGTGAGAAATTCATGAAGTCAGAAAGCTGCTCACTCCATTGCACTGTGAGAGGGCTCATCACGCTTGGGTGCTCCACTTGGCAGATGTAAGCCTCTCCACTCTGAGGAACTGTTTCCAGCATCACCAGGGTCTGGAAGGTCCAGTCTCCATTCTGGATCAGGCCTGTGGACACCACCCCAGCCTTCTCTTCCTGGTCGTTCCGGAACCACCTGACTTCAATGCTGCCTGGATAGAACCCACTCACGGAGCAGACCAGGAGGCTGTGGTGCTGCAGGGGCTGGGTCTTTGCAGGATACACAGTCACCTTAGGTTGGACTAGGAAAACAAAAGGGAGATGAAATGAGTCGGGAAGACAGAGCAAGTCTTGTTTGGCTGTTTGTTGCTTCTCTGTTAACCCAGGCTCTGGCCTTGACCAGGTCTCCAGCACAGCTGGCCATGTGGCCTCACAGTGTCAGCAGCCCGGGATTTAATCTTTGTAGTGGGGACCCACAAGAGTTAAGAGATGTGAAAAATGGTGTTTGTATCTTCATAGCTTAAAGTTGGCATGCATTGCGAAAGTGTTTACTGATCTTTGAAATTACAGATTGCATTAATAAAAACTGATTTCTGAGACAGGTTGTCTGGTTCAAATCTAAGGTCTGCCTTTTACTGGTGGATTCTGAAAAAGGTTTTTATTCTTCCATGTCTCAACTTTCTCACCTATAATGAAGGATAATTATACTAATTTATCTTTTGGGGTTATATGAGGATTAATGCATGTAAAACATATAAACAATGACTGAATATAGCCTTCAATTTATGAGGTCAGAAAGAAAGCTTCTCATTCCATTCCACTGTGAGAGGGCTCATCACACTTGGGTGCTCCACTTGCCACCTATTTATCATCCTTGTACACCTGGAGAGAAAAATATGATTTAAAGCAATGTGGAAAGATAAAGGGATAGAGTAAGGTACGTGAGGAAACTGAGGATGAAGTTTTAAGGATCCTACCGCCATGCACTCACACCTTAGAACACCACAGAAATGGTTCTGCCCCTGGGAAGGTGAGACAGACAGAAATGATTCTCCAAATCTTTAATTTCCTAGAAAAGCATGAGTCCTAAAGCAGAGAGAAAGATCAAGAAAAGTCGTTTTAATTTCGAAAGTTCTTCTATATACATTTAGCTGATCAATGTATTGCCAATGCAAAATAAGCATCACTATCATTAGACCTATGATTGTAAAATGATTTTTTTTTTCCAGCATGACATTTGGATCAAGGCAGGTTCTGGGACTCATTACTTGGGGTGCTTTTGCCTAGGAAAATCCCTGACACTAGCAGATCCTCAATAAATACAATTTTTTAAAAAAAGGAATGAGAAACATGTTGGGAACCAGCCCAGCCCTGTACACAGGTGCCCCATCTCCTGGTGATGCCTAGGGAGTGAGACAAGGAATAAAGACAGATACAAGAATAGAATTTTAAAGCATGAGTTCAGGGTTCCAAGGCACTCTAGCAGGGTCATCCGGTGATCCATATTGGCCTAGAGCTCTGGGCTCCAAGCTCTCTTATTAGGTAAATTATCCTGTTAATCTTGCAGGCACTGGGGAGGGGGGCTGAGGAGGAAGATAACAGGAGGAGGAGCATGTGTCTGCAGCATTCAGCAGCATAGGCGGTTCTCCTAAGAAATGCTAACTAAGGACACTAAGACTTTACCACCTATTGTCTATCCAGGTGTTTTGGCAAGAAAGGTGCAGCAGATAAGGCTCCATAAGGTCTGACCACACACAATGCATCAAGGGGCTTTTATCTCTCCAGGATTGTAGACATAAAGCAATCGAAATTGCCCCATATTCTGAGAACACAGGCAGAGCCTGTGGCGTTCTGGTGTCTCTGCCCTGCAAGGCTTTCTGGCCTTACCAGCACCCACCTGTGAAGACCTTCCTGAGTCTTATGAGCAGATGTTGCATTTCCTTCCCAGAGTGTTTTGCATAAGCTCCCTTTAGGAGATCCTCATACAAACTCTATGTTGGGAAGAGATGTGGGACCAAAGCAGTTTTTCTTTTCTGCTCTGCAGCCATGCCTCAGTGTTGCGCGGTTGCAGGGCGCTCTCAGGTGGCCTTTATCATAGGCCACCTGTTACCACTTGATCTCTGCTTTTATTTTACTGCACCATAGTTTGGATTTGATCCATGGCACAAATCTCCGTGTATAAAAGGCAAAGCAAGATTGGAATCATTTATAAGTAACACAGGTCTGCCTCCGGCTGTCTCTTCCCACAGAAACCTGGAGACAACAATATGACAAAATGGTAGATTTAAGATGGATTGTAAATCATTAATAAAAATTTGGCAATTTATTTTATTAAATAAAAATATTCAAATTCCTAACATAGAAAAAAATTTTCAAAATCAACATACAACCCACAGACTGGAAAAAACGTGAAATCTAATGTCAATAAAATGGTAAAAATCTTACAGTACAAAGAACCCACAAAATCACTGAGAAAAAATACTAAGCTCTAGAGATAACAGACAAAAGATCATTGTTCATTTCATACCAAATACAATAGGGAATCCTTAGAGCAGAAATTATAACTGGCTAATAAAGAGATCAAAATAATTCAAAAGCATTACAAATCAAAAAAGTATAAATTAAAAATTAATCAGAAACATACATTTTCACTTTTTGGTGAATGTCATAATAAAGACATTCAGAGGTGTCTCAGAGGTCTTCTCGGTTCCCCTAGAAATTAATCTGATGCTTTGCAAACAACCACCGCACACTTTGATTTCAGAGACTGCATGAAGGGTGTGTGCAGGGACAGTCTGGAACTGGCCTCCTCACACTATCCCAAACCTTCCACACCCCTCAGCTCTCCTCCCCTAAATCCTCACCCAGCCACACACACCTCACACTTCCCTTCCTGCATCTCTAAGGACCCAGGACAGTCGAGGTCTCTTCCCTCTCCAGCACCTGCACCCACCTCCCATGTCACCTCCCCACAGAGACCTCCAACGATAAGAAGCCCCCTCCTGCCTCCCCTCCCAGAACAGCCTCACAC